ACTTCCATTTGTTTAAATATACATAGGGATTTAGGAGAGAGCGCAGGTAACTTTTTCTTTGGTTTTTACTGTATGCATTGGGGCTGATGTGTACTGTGGTCGTTGCTGACGCCCAGGAGTGATGGGAGTGAGCACAGGACTTTTTTTTTTGTATTTGTATTCACTTTTTGTATCACACATCTAGGTTACAATGTTGCCGCCCATCCCATGTGTTCCCTATTAAGGGTTAATAAGTATATAGGCTTCTATATAAAAACTACCCCTCTCGGTCTCATTAGAGATATTTTTGCAAGAAGCTCAAAGAAACAAGGTGAAAAGTCAGTGTAGGACGTGCCTGGGCGGTCTGCTTTGACGTTGGCAAGCGGGCATTACCTCCAATGGCCATTGGAGTAACTAAATGACCTCCATTTGTTTAAATATACATAGGGATTTAAGAGAGAGTGCAGGTAACTTTTTTTCTTTGGTTTTTACTGTATGCATTGGGGCTGATGTGTACTGTGATCGTTGCTGCCGCCCAGGAGTGATGGGAGTGAGCGCAGGACTTTTTTTGTATTTGCATTCATAGAAAAAATACTGTTAGTCCAATAAAAAAAGGTATTACAAGATACGGATTTTATCTGTTTTTAACATACATCACTGGAGTAATACGGCTACAATCTCTACTTGAATATAAACTATAGCTCCTTGATAAGCAAACAATGCAACCCCAATACACATACACTCACAATGCAGCCCCTAGATGCACACGCACACACTTTACAGGCCCTTTCAGCATACACACAATCTCAAAAGCTCTTATACATGAGCACGTGCACACACTTCAGCCCCTAGTTACACATAGTACACCATAAACAGACTTCTCTATGCACACACTTCACCACAGCCCCTTCGAAACGCCATGGAAAATTATCTTGCATCTCCTGAAAAGGCTTTCCAATTTCCATGAAAAGGTGTCATGCCTGTAATAAGGAAGGCGCAGCGGTGGAACTACAGGGAGTGCTAGTGTTGTGGTTACACCGGAGCCCGTCGAGTGGCCCGTGCAATTAGGGCCACCTGATGGGCATGTGTTTTCAGGGGCCCAAAACAGTTTTTGCACCATTGCCCACTCTAGGTTAGTTCCGCCACTGTGCAGCAGCTTCCCTGGCACACAAGCTCTGCCCATGCATGGAAGATAGCATCTCCATACACAAACTCCGCCCCAAGCTCTGACACACTGACAGACATACACACATTCTGACAGACATAAAGCGACATGCACACACTCTCTGACTGAGACACACACATGCACACACACACACATGTTCTTACACACCCACAAATTGCTATTTTAATTTTAATTTAAATCCACCCAGCCCCCTTACCTTTAGGAAAGCTGAGTGGATCTTTTCCTGGCGTCCAGTGTGTCTCCTCTCAATCTTCCTGCAGTTTCTCTTTGCTCCCCTGCGCACTCTCTGTAGTGATGCCGGGGCCAGAGTGACGTCATGTCACTAAACAGCGCGCAAGGGAGCAGAGAGGAACTGCAGGAAGGTTACTGCTCCCTCGTGCGTCGCCTCCATGCTCTCTGCGGTGGCTGGATTTAATGTTTCCTGTGAGGCTTAGCAAAGGGCTGACAAATCAATGGCGACCTGGCACCTGCGATTTGTCGAGCCCTGTGTTTGTATGTGTGTGTGTGTGTATATATATATATATATTTATAACTGCCCCCCTATTTTTGTCCCTGGCCCCTTATGTGCCCCCCCCAGTATGAATCCTGGAGACACCACTGATTATTCAGTAGGTCCCCCTCCTGATCACTGTAAAAAAATGTTTCAGTAAGTTAAGTTACTTTTATTTGGCACCAGGCGAAGCTTCTGGTGCTCCTTTAACTCCCCCACCAAATGCAGGGTGGGAGCAAAGTGGGCAGGGTCTTATAAAAATACAATGTATCAGTAACCAAACTGGCACAAATATGTGTTTTTGCGCTACAAATCAGCACACATGCAGTACAAATGAATGGTAGATTTTTATTCACCTTTTAAAATTGCAGGGTGCTAACTTCACAGAGGTCAGAAATTCTGAAAAATAATGTTCGAACAATTCTTCCAGGATGAACTGTTGAATATGCAAATGAACACCAACAGGCATCGTGTTTCAAATTTATCCTGCATTTCTTCAGCAATGAAGCATAGTTTTAAACATAGAGATTTATCTGTGTATTACACTGTGACAAAGTGTCCTCATGTTATAGATTAGTTTACGTTTTGACACTCAAATTATAAACTGTGCCCGGATACACCATTCGGGAGTTAACTTGCCCAGCCTCCCCAAGAGTCCTATCCACGGTTTCCGTGGTTCAATGCCTTCCCTCTCTCAAATTCATCTGAAGGCTCGATCCCTGGCAGTCATACATAGGACCTTACGAACAGGCTTCAGTGGTATGGAACGCAGATCGGCTATGGGTTGTTGCGACTCCCGAGCCTGGAGACCACCTTTTTGGAGGAAAGGTACCTGAATGGGAGTGGAACAATTGCTACTGGAGAATCGAGAGGAATACTATTTGCTTTGTGCACAGTTGACTGGCCAGAGCACATTTCACTCATGAACTCTTTTGGGCATGGACCATGCGTGCAAAACTTTCCCCCCTGTGGCATTTGGTCAATGCTCCATGGAGCTGGGTGCTATTTGGACATATTGGACATTCAAAAACAAGCTTTCCAGGGGGTATAGGGCTTGTGGGGGTTCGGAACTGTATTGTATGTATTTTCAGGGGTTTTGTATGTTGAAGCCTCTGTGTCCGGGAGATAATTAGTTAACTGGTTATCAATTCAATTATCTCCCAGACACAGAGATGCCTGGGTGGGTTTATGTGTGGGGGGTCTGTGCAAAAATTCTGTGTACGTTGCCTGAATAAACCAGATTTACTCCCAGCATTAAGTCTCCGCTAATGTATGGGAGGAAAGCTTTACCAGCTACAAACACTACTTCGTCTGGAAAGAGCTATTACACTACTGGAAAGGGAATCCTTAGTGGCGATACTACGGAGGTCCACCACATACACTTTGTCTTAAAAGGTTACTCCAACCCTTATTCATATATTTTTTTGTAAACAATGAAAGATGAGCTATTTGGCATTATTCTCTAGGTCCCCCTCCTGATCGCTCTAAAAAAGTTTAACTTACTTTTATTCAGCTCTGGGCAAAGCTCCTAGTGCTCCTTTAACACCCCCATCTGACGTCATCTGCAGCTGCAAGCGGTCCAGTCAAAGGCTTATAGAGAAGCCTTTGATTGGACCAGTTAGCTGGTACAGAGCGCATGCGCGTGCTTTGTTTTGGCAAGGGGTGGGAGACGCAGCAGAAGTGGTCATGGTGGTTGGAGTAACCCTTTAGTTAAAGGGAGCCTATAGTCCTAGTGATGCCTGCTGAAAATTGTTTGTATTATTTAAAATCCGAGTCTGGATTTAAAAACATCCAAGTGTGGATTTCAGCCGTCCAACTAAATTTTGGACCAATTTCAGCCGAATTCGGGCCTGAATTGCAAAATCCAGACATTGTTGAATAGTGTGAACAATGTCTGGATTTTGCAGTCTGTATGGCAGTGTATGCAGTCAGCTGGTTTTGGGACATTTAGTATATTCAGCCTTTAGTGAATAACCCTGTAAGAGAAATTGAAAAAAACAGTTTCAACTGTGCCACAAAATGAGAAAGTCTATCTTCTTGACACTAGAAGGTTATTGCATGATAGCACAGAATCAGGTATGTATATGTACCCTCTGCTTTCCAAGTGACCATGTCGCCATCAGGGTTTTTTGCAACATACAGTTTTCCCTGAAAAAAAGAAATCCCCTGAAAATAAGCACTAGCTTACTTTTTGTGGATTCCTCGAACATAGATTCCATGCGCTAGTAAGCTAATTTATGTTCGGAGAAGTTTCCCCAAACATAGATTTGCGGGATTCCATGCACTAGTGAACTGGTCTATGTTCGGGGGAATTCCCCCGGACAAAGACCTGCTTTCTTGCACATGCTTGCTAGTGCATCCTTACCAGTAATTTTGCTTTACAATTGTGTCGTAAGAACGGAACCCGGTCGGTAAGTGAGGACGACCTGTAATATATAAAAATAAGGCATCCCCTGAAAATAGGCCCTAGTGTGTTTTTTGTAGAAAAAATGTATATAATAACCGGTCTTATATAATACCCTTGTCAAAGTATCTTGCTAAAGAGGGATCCAGTCAACATTGTGGATCCAATACACCTTGTTCTTTTTCTCAAAATCCTGCAAGGCATTAATTTCCTCTTCAAAATCATGGAAGGCTTGAAAAGTCACATTCAGATAAAGTTTGATATCATTACTTGGCCTCCACTTGTCTGCGGGAGGCCTGTTATGTTTTTATTGAAGTTGCATCCTGGTGCAGCTCCATTTGTGATATTTGAGCAATGTGGTCTGCTGTGGAAAGTTTCTTGCCATTTGCACTCAAACTCAGATTGGGGTAGCAGGGTTTGGCTGATTTTGGCTGACTATGTACTTTGGAGCTCCATATCTCTGTACTATTTAAGCACCAGTTGCCTTCCCATAGCCTGCTGGTCTCTTGCAGACATCTCTCTTGACTAGCAGCAGATCCTGACGCTTGCCACAAGATGCTCCTCTATTATCAGGGACCATGAACATCTTCCAGGCAGGTATCAACCACTCTGACTGCCTTCTTTTTTACAGGATGTATCAACCTCTGTCAGCGCTGCCTTCATCTAATGCCTTTACAAAGGCAGTTGCAAATAACAGGTATAAGTTTTGCCACTGTCTTTTCAAAGGTGCATTTAGCTCTTAAAGGTCCCCAGTACCAAGGAACAGTGCAATCAGAATGCAGGTCCCAAAACTGCTAGTGGAACCCTTAAAAACAGGACAGGGCACATATTTCCTAATGAAACTACCATGCAATTCTTTATTTTTTAAACAAGGACTAGTCTTTGGTAATTTGTGGTAAAAAAAAAAAAAAAAAACATTTATATGGCAATATACATAACACTGGAGAACAAGCAATCATAATTAATGCATCAAATATATAACACAAGTGCCACTTTCTAGCATATGAAAAGCAAAATTAAATATGTATAACTACTTATTTGGTTGCACTAATGTGAATACCAACATTATGTACCTTATGTCAATTGACACATTTTCAGTTAGCCAACAGTTTTTGACATTTTTAAAAGTAAGTCTTTTGGTGAACTATCTATTTATTTATTGTTTTGAGTTAATCTTAAATAACACCATATAATGATTGCTATTCCAAAAGTTTGGTTTGCAAGAAGGTTAACAATACTCATTATTACCAGATTCAGACAAGTCTATGCTCTAGTTGGTACTTCAACTAACAGATATATTTCCTTAAGAAAAACAAACACTTTTTGCTCTTTATTTTACCTTTTACTTATTTTTGTGTGTCCATCCACCTTAGTTGATATAGTTTCCTCCAACTATACACCCATCCTATTAGCAAGCACATAAGATCCTCACTGATTCAAGTGCAATCCACCACTCCTATAAAGAGTAGACAGCCACTATAGTCAGTCTTAACCCTGCAATGTAAACATTGTATTCTCTAAAAATGTTTTACACTGCACTCAGACTACTTTGTTTAGATTAAAATGTTCTAGGTTCCTATATTGCCTTTTCAATCAAATTATTGTTTTCGTGTGCTCACTAGTGGGGTATACCACTTGACTGTTGACTGAAACAAAATCTTCCTCCAACACTGTCACTCCTGACTCTGCTAACATCAGATGGACAAGACTGTTTAGATGTAAAAAATAAGAATTGGCTAAATTCTTTAGCTCCCCACCCACCTCTCCAGAAAACCTATCTGACTCTAATGCACTACATACCCCTACTGGTTATGTCTGCACCACTAGATGTCCCTACTAAACTATAAACAGCAAACCCCTTTCAAGATAGTGAGTCCTAATTGTGAATCTGAGCTTTCAGAGAAGTCACTCACTTAAATTTGCTACAGAGGTATGGACCCTAGAACAGCTTATCCAAGCATGAAGCATACTTCAATCTACTAACTAAGTTCTCATCATTGATCCAGAATCAATAACATGCACAGATAATTAAAAACAAACAAACATAATTTACTGCAATTCTTTCATTTTCCATGTTGTCTCTTAAGTCTTGTGTGATCAAACACTTAACAATATCTGATTATTTTACAGCAATGTATTTAAGTCAGACCTCTGATGATTTTCTGATTCCCAAAAATAGCCATAGGGTCTACATTTAAAAAACACAAAAATAAAAACGGAACACCCTAGAAAAAAAACTAAAGAGAATTTCATAAAGAAGTAGAATTATTATTTATTATGCAATAAATTATTTTGCAAAAAAATGTCAAACCTACTATTTCTACTAACAACATATTTGATTCCTAGTGTAGTCCTGTCACTCATTTTATTTCAATGTGTGATCATACCACTGCACACGTCTTCATATTCATACCCATTATTTATATACACAATTATAGCCAGTGAATATATAGATATATATATATTCTTTATTGACAGTAAACTTCACACATTTCTAAAGAAATAAAGTCACAGACTTCAAACGGACAAAGAGAAGCTGTAAGCCAGCAGCAGTCTAAAAAGAGAGGGGCAGAGAAGAGAGGGGTGAAAAGCAGGAAGAATATAGGGAGGGATTTATAGGGATCAAGAAGGGAAAGAACAGTGCGAGAAAAAGGGGAGAGAGAATCCACTAGTTGGCAGGGTGGTGGGGTCGATGCCCTGCAGTGTAGTCCTCTATCACCAAGTGTCTCCTTCTTTCTCTTTTCTTTCCTCTGTCTCCTGGATTCAAAGGTTTGGAGATGGGAGATTCAAAAAGTGATGAGTGTATAAATCATACTGAGAAATGGTCAGATATCATAACAGATAAGAGTGAGATTGTTAAACAAAGAGTGAAATATCATGCACAAAAGAAAAACAATGAAAGGATATGGGGAAACGAGGTGAGAGTGGGAGAGAGACAAAGGGCATTTGTAAGTCAGCCAGTTATGAGATGTGAGCGGATATTAAAGGGTACTATGGGAGTAGTTAGAGGAATTCCTGGGCAAGTTCTTAAGTGGAACAATCACCATGGAAACAAATTATTTTTTTTCTGCTTATTTCTTCAGTCTTGGAACTTTGCCAGGTTTTCTCTTTATACGTAACCACAGAACTGTGACTGGAACTGATTAATATAAGATGTGGTTTTGGAGACAGTATTTAATGCTGTATAGAATTATAACCTGCAGTTAAAAGAGCAGATTTTCATGTACAAGTGTCATGTAAATATTAGTAGAAGATACTGTTTGCAGAGTAGATGTGCCAGCATGCAGAGTGTGGCTGTATAAACAAGGCAGACTGGGGTGGGGGCATTTATGGAAGGGCCAGAGACAAGTCACTCACCAGCAGAGGCACAGCATCCTACGCGCTGACATAACGTACAGTAGCCCCCACCCTGCGTGCAAGGAAGAAGTGTAATTAGTACAGGATGCTGTATATAGGTATAGATATATAGAGCTGGGACTCATGCTGAATGTTCCATGGGCAGAAACTTGTTAATTCAAAACTGTTAAAAACAATAATTAGTACATTTTATATGGTGTGTGCTGTTCTGAATTTGTTACTGATATGTGGTAGGTATATATGGATATGTACATACAGAAGTAGCATCTTCTAACCTGCAGTTGCAGATCTTTGCCGAGTTTAGTGGTAAATAAAGGGCTGCAACTTGGATGCTACGATTAAAGATGTCATGTTGTAACTGTATCCAAATTTATCCATCAGAGCTGTAATTCCCTCTACTTTTATCCACTACATTGTAAGTGATTTTGTATCTCAAACCCTGCCACTTTTCCAAGAAGCTCTTGTGGTGCTTAATCCCTCCTTGAAGGAACCTTAATAACAACTAACAAGTTTATGTCCCATCATTTTCTCAGACTACTTTTGATACGCACCTGTACAAATAGTAAAAGAAGGACAGCAAGTAGAATGCAAGTTTACACCAGGCTTCTTTTTGACAGTAATTTAGGATGTCCACATTCATTATGGACACTGGGTCAAACATCACTTCTGAACCATCTGCAGGCCGGTGGAAATATCTGTGATAGATTCACCAAAGTTTTGTGTTAATGATTTGCAACACTAACCAGTCATATATAACAATCTCTAAAATAGTAACTTTAGAATATGCCTATAACCTTTCGCTTGATTTCAACTCCTATCCTTGACCACAGGGCTATAGGTGGCTTCTCAACGTTGCTGTATGCAACAGGTTGAACTCTGATGTGAGGTTTTCAGTAAATCTTATTGTAACATAACACTTGCAACTACATTCTTAAATGAATCAGCTAAAGTTGAATAAGTCCTGTCAAGGAGATATCAATGAGATGAAAGGGCACTTTCTTTGTCAAACTGTCATGGTAGTCCAACCAAAAAACAAACACGAGTCCTGAGCATCCAGTATAGGTGTGCACACCCAGGTGCTACTACAATTTATTTGAGGACAAAGTTAATGCAGCAAACGTTTCGAGCAGCATTGAGAAAGGGCTGCTGCTCGAAACGTTTGCTGCATTAACTTTGTCCTCAAATAAATTGTGGTAGCACCTGGGTGTGCACACCTATACTGGATGCGCAGGACTCGTGTTTGTTTTTTTGGTTGTATATACACTGTTGGGACTTCAGTGTGGAGTATCTGCAACACAGGTCTAATTTTTTCTTTGTTTATATTTTGAATTTTGTAGGCATTTTTTTGCCTCTACCTCACCCTATATATAGTGTCATGGTAGTCCAATGCAGAGAATAAAATTAATAAAAAACTGATGGAAAATACATAACTCAAATTTCATTCTAAACTTTTTTAGAACCCCTTAGAAACTTACCTATCATGGTTCCCGCTCCTGAATAAAAAAAACAATAAAAAAACTAAAACTTCATTCCAGAGGCCAATATTTCTCTGAAGCATGATCCTTCTCCAGTGACATCACTCCCCCTCACTGCAGTGGGAGGGATATCAGATGAACTAAGGGGCACAAATGCGGTATCCAACAATTTAAAGCAGCAAAGTCTAATATGAACAGAAATTAAATGAGCCATCCCAAAACTTTTGTTCCAGGCTGGATAATTATGTTCTAGTAATGCTGCTGGAGGTGGAGTTATATGTACAACAGCAAAGGGGTTAAACTCTATATGTACAGCATCATAGTGAAACACTACACTCTTCAAATCACTGAAGTTGTCAAGGTGCTTGTAGGAAACCTTTAATGGTTTAAGCTGCCATAGGCCCTTCTAAATTCATGCATCTCCACAATTATCACACGTACGTATATGTCATACTGTTTTTGAAATACATGCTCAAACAAACAGTCAAGCAAACATTCATATATACACAAATAAAAAAAAATATATACAAGCATTCAAAGAAACAGAGTCAAACATACAGTCAATTTAATTTCCCCTTCCTCTCATCTCTTATTGCTCCTTCCTCTCATCTCTTCCATTTAATCAGGGCCAGTGCAAGGATTTTTGCAGACCCATACGCTCCATCCTAGTGTGTCATCACATGAACAGCCATAATTGATATTATTCTTAGAGTATATACAGTACTTATACAAAATACCGCACTGCACCAGTCAGCATCTCCTCATAGAAATGCACTAAATCAATCATTCAGCTTCTCCATGCAGAGCTTGGAGGGTCCTGCAATCTTTGTAGAACAGAACCCATGAGGTCCATCTACCAGCTCTCTGAGTGACAGCCTCTAGAGGTGACCCTATGCAGCATTGTAAGTGTTACAATGCTAAACACGCAGGGACGACTGCAGATGCCAGAACCACTACATCATGTAATGGTTCCAGTGACTATAGTGCTACTTTAAAAGTATTGAGTTTTTTTTGTTTAATTAGAGCTTTGTCCTTTATGCAGACCCATGCACATGCATACACATACTTATCCATGCAAACACTAGCTCATTCACTCACACTCAGTGACCCACCCATACACACACACATTCAGCTGTCCTATCCTAGCTGTCCCACTTCCTAGTATGCTTCCACCCACATGTCCACAAGTAGAAGACAGGGGGCAGGGGACAGGAGCGACTAATAATGTACTACCTTTCCCTCTAGATATCCAGGGGGTACTAGCTGTAATTAGGGCAGTATATGTAACTGGCTGTGGGGTAGATGTCGGACGGTAATCAACAGTAATACAGCCGACGGGCACCCTGTGACCCAAACGAGCAGTACAGTTGATGCAGGTGCCAGCTATTAAAGAGCATCATAGACAATGGCCTCACTTGCCTAAAGAAAGTGCCAGCCCTGCTTTTATTGTCCCTTCCTCCCATCTCATATCCTCCATTCCTTATACTTTCAAGCAGTGGTCTAAGCCCTGCTTTTGCTTGGTGTCAGGATTACAGAATGATCCAGCACGTAGAATTGTGTAACACAGATGGCTAATAGGTAACGTATACCGTACCAAAGAATAGTCAGGAATAGCCGATACAGAAAGAGACACAACGATAAGGAAAAGCCAGGAGTCAGGGATGCCAGAAAACAGGGAAGTCAAAAACAATGCCAAAGTCAAATAACCAGAATCAATAACACGCTCTCGGACAACCACAGGGGAAACCACGACAGGGCACTGAGCAGGATGAGAACTGGGCCTAAATACCCCTCCTCTAGATCTGATAGGCTGTAACCGGCCTTTGACGCCAAAGGCAATTACCAGTTTCCATTTGCATAATTGCTGCTCAGCATTAACCCTTCTGTGGATTTGGTTGCTGCTCGGCACAACTTTTCCTGTGTGGACAGTAAATGCCATTAACCACATTTTTATAAGCGAATGAATACGTGACATTACCCCCCACCTGAAGAACGCCCACCGGGCGGGCAGGACCAGGCTTGAGAGGAAATTTGGCGTGAAAATAGCGAATCTTGCAGCCAGCATGTATATCAGATGCTGGAACCCAAGAACGATCGGCTGGTCCATAACCTTTCCAATCCACCAAGTACTGTAAAGTGCCCTGAGAAAACCTGGAATCAATTATGGAGGAAACCTCATACTCTTCCTGTCCAGAAACATGAGGAGTGACACTTGAGACAGTATATTTATTGCAAACAGGAGGTTTGAACAAGGACACATGAAAGGTATTA